GATCTCCAGCCTAAAGAAGGAAGGCAGGGTGGAGAGGGAGAGGAGACAGAAGTCAGGTCCTCCATGCCAGGGCTGGAAAGCTGATGTAGTTTCTGACTAAAGTCCTTGTGTGTTTTTGATTCTCTGTTATCAGGAACTTTTGGTGTGGGCATTTCAGTCCCATACAGATGCACACTGTCCAGAATCTTTTATCTACTTTCTGTTATTTAGCTTACTGTCCCTTAAGTCACCACTGTGGCTAATATAAAACCAGTGGCTCTAACAGCAGCAGCCAGCATTTCTTTGTCTTTTTAGAGGCTTAATGCACATAGAGATTATATGCTATTCAGCCATGGTGGTTTAAATGAAAATGGCTTCCACAGGCTCATAGGGAGCGGCACTATTGGGAGGTGTGGCCTTGTCAGAGTAGGTGTGGCCTTGTTGGAGGAAGTGTGTCACTGGGCTTTAAGAAGCCAAGCAGGCCCAGTGTCGCTCTTTCTTCTGCTGCCTGCAAATCCAGATGTAGAACACTAGGCTCCTTCCCCAGCACCATGTCTGCCTGCAAGCCATAAGGATAACGGACTAAACTTCTGAACCTGTAAGCAAACCCCAGTTAAATGTTTTCCTTTATCAGAGTTGCTGTGGTCATGGTGTCTCTTCACAGCAATAGAAATCCTAACTAAGACATCAGCCCTCAGAACAAAGGTACCATATGACCCAGCACTTATCCAAGAGAGATGAAAACATGTTCACATAAAAACATCAGTGTTTATAACAGCACCATTCATAATTGTCTAAACTACCCAAATAAATGGAAACAACCCAAATAACCATAAATTTATGATAGAATACATCAGATGCATGTCACTGGAAAAGGATGGGGTTGTATACCATTCATGAAATTTCAGAATGCTGTGCAAGGTCTTCATAACACTATACACTGTGTGATTCTATTTGTATAACATTCAAGACATGAGCAACTTTGTTGAGAGTAGTGGTTATAGGGAAATGAACAGGAAGTCACTGAGTATGACATTCCTATTTGGAATGATAACATTTTCTAAAATTGTGGTGCAAATGCTGCAGATCTATAAGCACACTTTGTAATAAATTATATCACAATAAAACTGTTCTATTTGAAGAAAGCAAAGAATGCTTCAGATTTCCTCCAGTAGCAGACAAAGTCTGTAATTATCAACAGGTGCAGCGTAGGGCAGCCAGTGCTGATAACTAATTCGAACAAAGCTAATTGTCACTATCAAGGGTCCTTTTCCCTAGGAAACTTCAACAGGTAATTCCTTAGTGTAGTGGTTTTCAGCCTTCCTAATGCTGCAACCCCTTAATACAGTTCCTCATGTGGTGATCTGAGGAGGCCCACAGAGGTTTCCTAGTGAGATCTGAGCTTGCTTTACCAAGCAGGGCAGCATTAGAGGATGTCTTGACCACATGCTTGGTTACCAGATGATTGGAAGGGTCTGCACTTGGCTGTGCTAGGGGGAGGTCTTCTGCTCCTCCCCTTGGCATTCCTATAAAAAGCCCTTTGAAGAGACAGAAGGGGCCAGTGGATAAGGATCCAGGTCCTCCCATGGCTATCCTGTGTTTTGTATGTTTCTCTCCCCTCTATCCTTCTATCTAAATATTTCTCACTCCTTCCTCCTCAAGAGTACCTGAAGAAAAAGTGAAAGGGAGCCTCCCACAGAGAAATGGGTGGGCTCCCCACAGTGATCCCCAACCATAAGGTTATTTTCATTGTTACATCATAACTGTAATTTTGCTACTGTTATGAATTGTAATATAAATATCTATGTTTTCTGATGGTCTTGCGACCCCTGTGAAAGGGTCTTTCAACCCCTGAAGGGTTGAAAATCACTGCCTTAGCAGATCATAGTGGAATCCAGTGCTGCTGCTAACATCAAGGACTCACATTGAACAAGCTGAGTGCATCTTTTCCACCACCCCCCCCCCCCCCCGCAACCACCCACATCTACCCTACTGATGTGCCGTCTTGCTGACTGTGCTCCTGACATTTCAGCCTCCACAGGTCTTCTTTCCTTCTGCACTTGGAGTGACATCGCATGACGTCTCTCTCATGTCCTTTAGCTCGCCTCGCTGTCTTTTTTCCTCCTACCATTGTGCTGGTTCTGTTCTCTCTCAGTGTTAATTCCACAGCTTACAAGGGCCTTCTTTGCCTTTGAAATCAGTAAGTAAATGAATAAATGGCAAACAGAAAGCAACCACACCACAGACAGTACAGCAGAAACCGCAGCTCCCAGAGATCTACGGGAACATTTGTGAATGAATTCATTCACTTCTCATGCTCCCTGTCAAAGCTGGGAATCGCTGATAAATACCATAACAGTGGTTTGTTTTCTTTTTCTTTAAGTCGCGTTCATTCCAACTGTAGCTCTCACTAAATCAGTTTTGCAAAATGTCCCCATGTGGTCGTGTTTTGTTCTTAATTAAGATTGTTCCAGTATATCCATAAGGCACTGCAAACTCATGCATGCATGCTGTGCTAGGCCATTCATAATTTTGCTTTTGTGCGTCTAGCTTCATTTCCAGCCTACTCTGCACTTTCAAGCTTTTGCATACGCTGTTCCATCTGTTAGCAATGTGCTTGCTGCCTGTGCTTTTTTATGAATTTATTAAAACAGTAATTGGAAATTCCATAGCAAATCACGTGGCCATGAATGGAAACTGTCAAAAATGCATTTGTCAGTCAAACACTTTATTGTTTGAGGGAGTCCTTAAGTCTAAAGTTGGTTCCTAAATTACTGATATCTTTGACTAGAAAAAAAAATTGGAATATGAAAAAATTGGTTTAAAGCCAGAAAAAAATTGTGGTAAAAGAATTGGTTCCACAACTTACTTTTTGTTTCTTTGAGCTTTGGTTTACTCATCTCAAGATAATAGCTACCCGAAATGATTATGAAAATATACAATAGTTTATGGATTGAAGGTGCCTAGCAAGCGTTCAGTTATTGCTTAATTGTAACTGTCTGATGGTGTAAGCACAACCCTGTGAGTGGGCACAGTCCCCTTACACACTTGAGTCATTTGTCTTACTCTGTGGGTTGCTTTTTGAGATACCGAGAGAGCATTCCTTCCCTCCTGTTTTTACCAGACAGGATGCCGGGAGGACATGCTCTCGGCTGCGTGGACTCCTGACTGAACTGCTGTGGTGCACATTTTTGTTCTCTCCTCTTCTCTGTTTCCCTTCCTCTTCCCCTCGTTGTCCTTATTCATGCCTCTCTTTTCCCCTGCCCTGTATATAGTAGACCCCATTTTTTACAGTTTTCAGAAAGAGCAATAAAATTCCAAAGAGTGTACAAGTTTATTGAGTTGTCAAAGTTCTAGATTGGATTGGGAAGCAAAATTTATGTGGTTTTAGCAGCCTGGCTTATCAAAACCTTTTTTTTTCCTGATACTGGTTCTGCTTTCTGAACAACAGAGACAATGAAAGATGACCTCAGCTTGGTGCCACACGGCAATTCTCTTATGTATCTTTCAGGTCATAATATCTTTTGAAACGTGCTACACACACACACACACACACACACACACACACACACACACACACACACAGATTTACATACCTCAGGCCTCCACTCTGACTTGCTGATGTGTGTCTTCTGCCTCCTCCCGGCCAAGTGTGCCATCATTCGGCCTCCAGTGTTGCCCTGTCTGTTGCTATCACAGTCAGACATCCTGTGGAGATGTCTGCCTCTGCTGTTTGACCACTACCCAAATCACTACAGTTGGCCTCGCTTGCACTTTTAGAACTGTGACCACTCCTGACCATTGAATTCAGTGGTCACATCCTTGTTGCCACAGAGAAAGAACTGCTTGCTTGAAAAGCCTCTTCTGTGCTTAGGGCTCTCCTGCCACCGCTCCTCACACCCCTGTGACCACCCTAGCTCCCTCCCCCTCTTCCTGTCCCTGGGATGCTAATAGTGGTTCCTCTAAGATTCTTCACATATTTCATCAGGGCATAAGGGATAGTGTAGCTAGAGTTTTCCTGCCTGGCCCACAGTCAGGACAAATCTCTCTCACCTGCCAGTCCCACAGCCACTCAGACCCGACCAAGTAAACACAGAGACTTATATTGGTTACAAACTGTATGGCCGTGGCAGGCTTCTTGCTAACTGTTCTTACAGCTTAAATTAATCCATTTTTATAAATCTATACCTTGCCACATGGCTCGTGGCTTACCGGCATCTTCACATGCTGTTTGTCATCATGGCGGCTGGCAGTGTCTCTCTGACTCAGCCTTCCACTTCCCAGCTTTATTCTCCTCCTTGTCCCGCCTATACTTCCTGCCTGGCCACTGACCAATCAGTGATTTATTTATTGACCAATCAGCAACACACTTGACATACAGACCACCCCACAGCAGGATAGGGTGAATATTTGTTGGATGGATGAATGTTTTCTATACTGACAATTTCTCAAGTATTTTCAACTGTAATTGGACACAGCCATCTTTGGTCTAGTCTCTTGACTGTCTCTTGATCTGCCTCCAATATAAAGTAGTCTAGTCACTATGCAGTGCTTGTTTACGTGAGGTTCAGTTAATTTTAAGTTCTCTGTATACATTTAGTAACTGCAAAAGTCATTTTGAAGTACATTTTGTTTCTAAGATTTTTACAACTGTTTGACTATTTACAGTAATCCTGTAGTCTAGCCGTCAGTTCTCAGGGGACGGGGACAACTCAGTTTACTAAGTGTCATATTTTAATTGTTAATATATTTTCAAGTATGTATTCTGAAGTTTAGAGAAAGAGTTAGTATTTTATAAAATTGTAAGGAAAAGACTGGGGGGTTGAACAGGTTATACATTTCTGCTTACACAGCTTAAAATGCAAATCCAGGGTTTGCTCTTTCAGACCATAACTCATGAGTTTCTTCTGAATGAGATTGAAAAGAGTGAAGATAAATGCTAAATATGGAAACACTGTTAAGTTTTTGAGTTTAGTAAATCTTAATCATACCAAAACACATCTATGTTTTCTTGTCCTTAGGCAGTTATTTGGCAGAAAAGTAGAGTACCAGATCACAGGATGGCTCTCATGTCGGTTCTGGGAACTGCTGTGATGGGCAACATGATGTCTGTTCAGCACCACTGTGAAGAATCTCAGGTACACAATGAAAACGGCGTTTCGGAATTCTCAGAACCAATGCAGTTGTTACAATGTCCTTCCAGGGTGGTTGTAAGACAAACAGCAAAATGCAAAACTACCCTTCCAGCCCTGGTTTCCTTTCATTTACATTGATTTTTTTAAATTAATTTTGTATTTATAATCTTTGTACATTACAAAGAAAAGAGTATCTTGCTTCTCCTGTGTTTCTTTCTCGTCCTGAATACAAACTCAGAGCTCTATGGACTGGTGGGTGATGCTGCCTCTCTGTGTGTGTGTGTGTGTGTGTGTGTGTGTGTGTGTGTGTGTGTGTGTGTGTGTGTGTGGTGGGTGACTTTGTTCTGGTCATTAAACCTAGAGCCTTGTACATATGATACAGTCACTATTGTACTGAGCTTTACTCCAAGTCCGTTTTTTCCCCGTTTTTATTTTTCTGTCATGTCTTGCTGAGTTGCCCAGGGTAGGTTTGCACTCTGTAGCCTTGAACTTCCAGGCCTCCTACCCCATCCTTTCGTAGCTGGGATTGCAGACTTGGGCTGCCAGGCCCTGGCTTTAACATATTTCAGATGTAGTTTTCTTTTTTCAGTGCTTAAGGTCTAACCCAGGGCCTCACCGGAGGCAAGCTTTCTGCCGCTGGACTCTGCTCCCAGCCCAGGGGAGGTTTATTGTGTGTTTATGTGCTTATTTGTCTCCATCTTTGGTCGAAATATTAATTACTAAGGCCCAATTAATTCTAAACTTAGACTCTAGTTACTATAAGAAATCAGTACAAAGCCCAGTATTGTTCAGTGTCCCTGAGCCTTGGAGGGGTTGATACGGAGGTTTCATTTAGGGTCAGGCACTGCCATCACTTATTCTTGGCATCTTTATGGGTTTCTGCATTAACTACCCCACTGTGAAAGGCAGCTTCTTTGGTGAGGTCTAGATGCAGCACACTCCAGGAGTGTAACCAGTCTTAGACTGCAGTTTGACAGGGTGGCCTTTTAGCACAAAAGTACTCCCTCTTGAGGCCCCAGTCAAGGGCCCTGACCAGGTTCACAGAGCCAGGCATGAGTGTCCTCTTGTGGAATAGGCCTCAAAGACAATCAGAAAGTGGTTACTTACCTCATTTCCAGTCATGCCAGCATAGCACTAGAGGGTGCATCTTGCCTCTGAGGTTATTGTGTTATCTAGCCATATCACAGCTTAGTAATACTGTTAATAATACCCCCACCCCAACCTGCATAGGAGCTTGGCACCATGACAGCTGGACAGGGGAAGAAGCTTGCAGCTCAGCTCCAGCTTGATTTCTATGTCCTGTGACCATAGTGTGACCAAGAACAGTGGCCTTAGTCTGTGTTGTTTGGGTGCCCTGGGGCCTCTCTGATCACTCACTAGTATGGAGGTATCCCATTCCTGGCACTGCGATTGTAGTGTAATAACCCATGGCTTCTAGGAAGAACATCATCCATATCCATGGAGGGTATCTCCTTCCAAAGGGTTGTTTTTTGTTGTTTTTCAGATTTTATTTTTAATAAGGTTATAGAACAATTGATTTCTATGAGGCTTTTTCATATCCTCTTAGTGTTGGTTACCCCTTCTTTTTTGGGGGGTGGGGTGGGGTGGGCGGAGAGTTTATTCAGCTTATGCTTCCACATCACAGTTCATCACCAAAGGAAATCAGGACAGGAACTTGAGTAGGGCAGAGACCTAGAGGCAGGAGCTGATGCAGAGGCCACACAGGAGTGCTGCTCCTCATGGCTCATTCAGCCTGCTTGCTTGCTTTAATTCTTTATATACATTATCAGAAGATGGAAAGATCTTCTATGCTTATGTAGTCTGGGCTGGCATCCATGGTCTCTTAGGGTCTGCAGCACATTTGTCCAGGGCCTTCTGGCTTTTACAGTCTCCATTGAAGAGTCAGGTGTAATTCTGACAGATCTGCCTTTACATGTTACTTGGCCTTTTTTTCTTGCAGCTTTTAATATTCTTTCTTTGTTCTGTTGTTTAGTGTTTTGATATCTGTGTGGTGATGGAACTTTCTTTTCTGGTCCACTTTATCTGGTGTTCTGTATATTTCTTGTTCTCTATAGGCATCTCCTTTAAGTTAGGAAAATTTTCTTCTATGATTTTGTTAAAATTATTATCTAGGCCTTTGAGCTGGGATTCTTCTATTATTATTCTTAGGTTTGGTCTTTTCATAGTGTCCCAGATTTCCTGGATATTTTGTGTCAGGAACTTTTTGGATTTAACATTTTCTTTGACCGACCGACGTATCCATTCTGGTATGATATCTTCAATGCCTGAGATTCTCTGTCATCTCCTGTATTCTGTGGGTGATGCTTGTGTCTGTAGTTCCTGTTCATTTACCTAGATTTTCCATCTCCAGAATTCCCTCAGTTTATGTTTCTTGTTTCTATTTCCATTTTCAGATCTTGAACAGTTTTATTTGCCTTCGTCAACTGTATTTCTTGGCTTTCTTTAAGGCATTTATTCATTTCCTCCAATTTTCTTTGTTTTCCTCAGTTTCTTTAAGCGATTTATTCACTTCCTCTTTAAGGACCTTTATCATCTTTAGAAAGATGGTTTTAAGGTCATTTTCTTGTGCTTCAGCTATGTTGCAATAATCAGGGCTTGCTGTAGTGGGATGGCTGAGCTCTGATGGTGCCATATTGCCCTGACTGTTATTATGTTCTTAAACTGGAGTCTAGGCATCTGGGTTTGGGTGATTATAGATCTAGGTGCTGATTTCTGAGTTTGTCTTTGTTGGGTGGGTGTTTTGTTCCTTGGTTTCTGTTTCTTTTTCTGGCCAGAGTGGCCTGTGGGTAAGTAGACAGTCTCCACCAAAGTTGCGGTCTTGACTTCTTCTGATGGCCTGGATGGCCTCTAGTCTATCTGGGGATCCTGGGGTTCTGGGTGCTAATGTGGCCTCTGGTGGAACAAGGGGCTTCAGCCATAGGTGTGGGCCAGGATAAGATGATAAGGTGAAGAAGGACTGTTGGGGATAGGCAGGATGCTTACCTGAGAATCTGGCAGGTGTGGCCTCTGGTGGGAGTTGTGGGCCAGGGTATAGTGGAGGTGGGAGGAGGGACTGTTGGGGTAGGCTGGGCAGGCATTGGGGGAGTGTTAGTGGTCCATGGGGGGAGCGCAGGGGGAGGCATTGCCTGGGGATCTGGGTGCTGGGGTGGCTTCTGGGGAGGAAGGTTGGTTACCTCTTCTTACCACCTCTTCTCTCCTATCATCCTACTTCTTCTCCCATCTGTAAGTTTTATAAAGGCCTTTTATGTTTCATTATCGTGCCAAGGACTTAATGTGGATGCTTTCAATTTAAAAACGCATTTCTTTCTTAGCTATGGGGTTTATACTTCTATCCATTATCAGTTTCTCTGTGTGTGTCTCTCTCTGTCTCTCTCTCTCTGTCTGTCTCTCTCTCTCTCTCTCTCTCTCTCTCTCTCTCTCTCTCTCTCTCTCTCTCTCTCTCAGCTAATTATTTCTTAGGCCCTCCTCTTATTTTCTCAGTGTTTTTCTCTTTCTGTGTGTTCTAGTAGATCTCACTGTGTCTTCAAACTCTTCTGATTATTTTACTTAGAAAGGTAAATTCAGTTGCCAAGAGTATTTTATTTAAATGTTGTTTTACAGCTTCTTGTTGTTTTTTGTGGATTCAAAAGCTTGAATTGTCCTAAAGATAAGTTTTTGTTTTTTAAAATACTGTCTCCTTAAACAATATTTATTTCATAGGAGACAAGTGTTATTTGCTTAGAATGTCTTGTTACTCCAAATCTCTGATTTTCTCTCCCTGTCTTCTTTCTGTCCCAAGCTTCTGATTCTCTTTGTCTTTTTGATGTGTGAGAGAAATTCAGCTGTAAATGTGTGTTTGTGGCTGCTGTTGGCTGTCAGGTTCCCCTTGGGTGATCCTTATATGTCTGTCTATCTATCTATCATCTATCCATCCATCATCTACCCATCCATCTCTATCTGCTCCACCTGTCACCTCCCTTTCTTTTTTTTAAATTTCAAGCACAAAATTAAACTGTGATTGATTTAGATATATTGTCACTATTTAGTTCTTTAGACAAGAGATGTCTCTAGTGTTATGCTGCTTATGTTGGCTGAGTTGGGATGCTCAGGGTAAATCTAAATTGCCCTGAGTTCCCTCTAATTTCCTGGGACTTGGTTGTCTGTGTGTGCTCATGCTCTAGATACACCAGGCATCCTGATATGATCTACAAACTGGTAGTGTTGGCATCACATGGAAGCTTGTTAGAAACTGGTGTCAAAGGCCTGTTTTCAGGTCAACTGAGGCTGATCTGTATTTTCAAAGTTCTTAGATGCCACACTCCAGTGTGGAAAACAGTTACATAGACCTCCATTAGCTGTGATTGGATGTGTGACTGGGAGTCACATGAGTCAGTCCTGTAGTGGGTAATTTTTTTCACTCTGTTTTGAGACATTATCAGATCTGTGCTTACTTTTTGTTTTGTTTTATTTTGTTTGTTTGTTTTGATTTGGTTTGGGAGACAGATTTATAGAAAGTAATTTCTGATAGATGACGGGAAGTTTGCTTATCTTCGCATGATTGTTTTTGCATGGAAGAATGTATAATACATGTGTTTATAATGTTCTAGTTCAAGTGCTGGAGAATGTCTACTAACTGTGGAATGTCTGTAAGTAATTGAACAGTCAGATCTCTCTCCTGTTACTGTTTTGTGTCATGCTGTTGTGTTTCTGTTCCAGCAGCCTTCATCACCACACCACACTCTGGCTTGTGTGCTTGAAGACTTGTTCAGTATCAGAATCTCTTTGGATGGTTTCTCATCCTTGGTCAAAAACAATCCTAATTTTTGTTTCCCCAACTGCTACTGGCTATCACCTCTCACGTGATTCTGCTCCCCATCACTTATCCTTGTAAAATTTGCCCCACCATGTTTTCCTTCATTGGGCTGGAGTGACAGATGTGTTGGCCATTGGGAACCTTGGGTACAGAGTGTCTATGTATCGCCTCCTTTTGTGACAAGGGTTTCTCTGTGTGTTTGGTCCTGGGAAGGATCTTCATTATGGGTCGTGACGCCACCTTTGCCCCAGCTTTTGTGAGGTGCTTTCTGGTGTAAATTGTCGGAGCTCCTTAGGTTGTCCTTTTTGACATCTTTCTTCTCTTGGATATTTTTAGCCCTGCTCCAAGCGGAGTGAATGTCTTACTACCACCTGATTTTTATTCCTCAAATGTATACTTTTTTCAGAACTTGGGATTTATTTTCAGTTTTTTCTAAACTTTATTCATAACTATCTATGCTTGCTTGCTTACTTTCTGACTTAGTTGATGCTATTTTTTTTGTTTAAATTCCATGTTATAATATGTAATTCCAGAGTCATTTCCACCATGTTCTATCATTTCTGTTTTCTGAGAGAAAAGAGTTTTATTCTCTGCTATTTTATGTGGCTTGAAACATATTTGCAAGATCGTGGATGACACTGTTTCTGTCGTTACAATTCCTTCCTACACTACAGTCCAGTGCCTGCCTCTTCCCTAGTCCCACTTTGAAACCGGGTGTTGTATTAGTAGTTCATGCCTCTATCCAAGACTTCAGGCTCCAGCTTGGCCTAGCCTTGTCCTGGTTTTGGAGTTGACTCTGTTCTTTCCTGTGACACTGGCAAGTGGCTACAGACAGTGGTCACAATATGTAAGTCATTTTGTTTTCTTCCAGGGAGGTGTTGTGTGAACTTCATGTTCCAAGTGGAAAGACTGATTTCAGTCCTCTGCTGGATTTTAATTTCCAAATGAGGCATCCCATTTCTGATCCTAACCCACACAGGGCCTCCTCCTTCAACCCCCGCTTCCTTCCCGTTATGAGTCTGCACACAACTGACCTTTGTCTGTCATTGATGCTGTTAGTTCTTTTGAAATTACTTTAAACATTGTATCACCCATTTAGGAGAGGGAATTTCCACATGAACTTGTTCCACTATCTTGAACAGAGTATTTAAATGACTTCATTAGAAATGTATGTTATTTAGATATGTATGATGTTATGGAGCTTTACTGGAAAAAAAAGAGAAAGGTAAGGGTTAGCAGATCAGTCAGCAAGGTAAAGAACAGAGTTGTCTGACAGACTGTGGACTCTCTAGTATGGTAAAGAATACAAAAGTTGTCAGTTGGACAGTGGGGTAAAAGTGAGATAAAATACCTTACAACATTTTAATGTGGCAAATTCATTTTTGTGACAGCTACTTATGCAAGAAATAACTACAACATTGCTGTCTTAGTATCAGTGATAGGTAACTTCGAACTAGAGATGAGAACGAAATTCCTTAGAAATTAATTATTGAGCAAAGGGGGACTAAACATGGAACTTAGAGGACCACACTCCTCCTTAAGGACAAAGATAAAGAGACATCGGATCAGACTGAAGCACGGTGTCACAAAGGAGGCAGACAGTCCAGAAGGCGCTGGAAGGCAGTTCATTTGGTAGATCTTCTTGAAGGAGTTGTCATTGATGTCAGGCCTGCACAGTCAAGAACAAACGAGCTTGCATTAGTTACTGAAAGAAAAGCCAGTGTGTTTGGGTGTTTGTTGTCACTTGAGGAAGGGGCTCACTCCATAGTCCCATCTGGCCTGGAAATTGCCTTGTTGCTGTGTGGATCAGGCAGGCCTCAAAACTGCCTCCTGAGTGCTGGATTAACGGTGTGCTGCACAGTGCCTGGAAAGAGATGCTAGTTTGTAAAGGAGGCTGGAGGAGAAGAAAGGTCCACATGAGGAGCAACTGAGAGGATGAAATTTACTGTGTTTTGAGGGGGTTTTTGTTTTCCTTTTTAAGTGGCGGCACAGAGTCTCTACAGTCTGTCAGGCTTTGTTTCTTTATTGATCTGATCTGGGGGTTTTTGTTCTTTTTCTATGGACTAGTCTGATGTTTAGTCTGTGTAGCATTACACACACTGTGGCCACTTGACTCTCTATGTAACTTTCGCATGCTTCGTTCGTTAGTTTTCCAGATTATCTTCATTTTTAAAGTCCAGTGTCTAGAAGTAACAGTGGTTACACCATGGCAGCCAGAGTAGTGAGGAAGGAGCCCACTGGCTTTGTGCTGTGCCTTATTTTCTCCATTCTTCTCCTATGTAGGACACGGGGGAACTTCTCTTTTCTCTGCTCTCCTCATCTGTGTCTTTTCTTTAATCCACATACTCAGTAAGTCCTTCAGAGGCTAACCAGACTCTCCTAGTGCCCAGCTTTAAGAAGAGGCTCATGTTACCTGGTAAATTATACAACCATTTACAAATGCTGTGAAGTTTTACAGTTAATTAAGTGGTATCATCTTGTAATGGATTATCCAGATTTATTAATTTATTTTTTCAAATTGGTGCACATTGGCACTGGGACAGTAATGCACTTAGTGTTCTAAAATTGGGACAGCAGCTCCTTAAGCACTTACTTGCAAGTGCAGGGATAGCCGTAGACATAGGTGACGGCCTACAGGCTGTGTTGTTAAGGGGCGTCATGGTTACTGCTTGACTATAAATAGCGCCTTACTCACATATTTGCTCTCCTTAACCTAAGCTGGATGTTTACCATTAGAGCTGCTCATTGGGTTCATGACACATCTGATTTGTTTCAGATGAGTTACATGCCAGAATATACATATGCCTACACAAGCATGTACACGTGTGCACACACACACACACACCATGAATGTAAAGGGGGAGGAAGGGACAGTCAATGAAATCTAAGTTTTCTGTGCTATGTTGATTATCTGAAGGGAGAAGCAGGAGCATACTCTGCCTTCTGTTCCTTAAATCACTCTTTCTTTCTGGTCACTTTTTCTAGTACCCTTCAGTGTAGTTGATTTTTTTTTTTAATCTTTGGGGGCCTACCACCCAGTTCCCAAATAAGTACATCTTACTTATGAATGCCTGGCCTTAGCTTGGTTTGTTTCTAGCCAGCTTTTCCAACTTAAATTATCCCGTTTCTCTTTAACTACATTTTGCTTCTGGGCATTTTACCTTTCTTTATTCTGTGTATCTTTCTCTCCTTCTTACTCTATGGCTGGCTGTGTGGCTGGGTGGCTGGGTGGCTGGGTGGCAGGCCCCTGGTGTCCTCCTCTACTTTTTTCTTGCTCCTCGATCTTCTCTTCCCAGAGTTCTCCTCCTATTTATTCGCTCTGCCTGGCAGCCCCACCTATCCTTTCTCCTGCCTCGCTATTGACCATTCAGCTCTTTATTAGACCATCAGGTGTTTTAGGCAAGCACAGTAACACAGCTTCACAGTGTTAAACAAATGCAACATAAAAGAGTGCAACACATCTTTGCATCATTAAACAAATGTTCCACAGCAAAAACGAATGTAACACATCTTCAACAATATTCCACAACACTTCAGATTTTTCCTTTTCTTGATATATTTCTAGACTAGGGAAAGTCTGTGTTTGCAAATAACCATGAAAATTTTCATGGTGAAGTTATGTAAGCATTTGTGAAGATAACATATAGTGTATGGCCAGTATTTAGCCATAAAGGATTTAATTCAATGTAAAAGTTTTTTTTTTTTCCCTTAAACACAGCAATGAAAACCCAGTGCAATTAGCTTTATATATGTTCAGAACAGAGGTAGAAACAGCTGTTTTTTGTGGGAAATAATAGTTGAAGGGAAAAAGACAAACAGCCAGTAAGCAGGGGTGGTGTGTGTGTGTGAGTGTATGAAGAAGGAAATTTTAAAATGAGGTAAGGGTGTTTGTAGTATGATAGTTAAACATTTGAAACTAGGGCCATTCATAAAGACTTTTTCACAAATGAATTACAAAATGAGTTAGAGCAGAGAACTTGATTTAGTACTCTTCAGTATTTAGCATGAATTCTCAAGTCATGCTTATCAGCATATATGTGACCTGAAGTTACAAATCTCATGTGTTATTTTGTATGCCTTCTAATATGTTGTATATAATCAGACCTCTGGAACGTTATTGTTGACATTACATCTTCTGTATCACAATTATAGATTTACCTAAGTGGATTCTTTCCAAAGCTTGATGCAGACCACAGTTCCACAAGTCTTTCAACCCCAGAGAGAAGTTTCATCTTTATTAATAGTCGACCAGTACATCAGAAAGATGTATTAAAGGTAATCACTTTTAGGAAGAAAAATATGGATCAGGAATTTAATATTTTTTAAATAATTTTTTCTTTTTCTAAGTTTTATTTTATGTGCCTGGTGCCTATGGAGGCCAGAAGAGGGCATCAGATTCCACGGGACAGGAGTTGCAAATGGTTCTGAGTCACCACGTGGGTGCTGAGACTGAATCTGGGTCCTCTGGAAGAGCAGCCAGTGCTCTTAACCGCTTCCCAGCCCCCAAAATTAAAAACCTTAACTCTGTCATTTGTCAGATTGTTAGGGACCACTTCTAAGAACTTGATTTAAAATAAGGAAAAGAAAATAAATGAAATCCCTTTCATCAAGCAGGTATTTTACTTATGTTTCATTTACTTTTCACAACTCAAAGATGCATTATCAGCCCCAATATGAGTGAAGAAGCAAATGTTAGATGGTTTTTAAAGTATTTATTTACTCACTCTTTTGCTCATGCCTTTGAAACAGGATCTTGCTACTAGTCCAGGTTGGCTTTGAGTACTGGAACAGTACATGTATCGCCACACCTATTAAATGACATCCTGAAGGGAAGTAACCAGAAAGTAGCAGGGGGTCATTTGTACCTTAGGCCTTCAGATCTCCATGGCGCTGTGGTTAACTGTGATGCCAAGTGCATTGAGTGTGTACATCTTAGGAGAGCCTGCGCCCCATGTAGGGTCAGGGCCTCCGTGGGACTGTCCTCGTCACATCTACTTAATCTGTCAATTCACACTTTCGGTAGCATTTACAGTTGGTAATAACAAGGCACTTTTGTCTTTTATTCATTGCTTGTATTTCTAGCTAATTCGATGTTATTATAATCTGAAGTGCCTAAAGGAATCTACTCGGTTGTATCCCATTTTCTTTCTGAAAATTGATGTTCCTTCAGCTGAGCTGGATGTAAATCTAACACCAGATAAAAGTCAAGTATTATTACAGAATAAGGTAACTTTTTTCAAATAAAATTTTTATGTCTTTATGCTATTTATAAACTTATACAGTCTTAACTGCTCCCCTATTAAAAAGACTTTTTTATATTTTTGTTATTATTTTAGATATTGTCCTTTTTTCCCAGTGTGCCCCTAATATATGTTCATTTGTATTCTTAGGAATCTGTTTTAATTGCTCTTGAAAATCTGATGATGACCTGTTATGGACCACTACTAAGTACAGAGTCTTGTGAAAATAACAAAGTAGATGTTTCCTCAGCCAACATGGCCGCTTGTGAAACAGCAGAAACAGATGTGCTCTTAAATAAAATGGAATCATCAGGAAATAATTATCCAAATGCTGACACTTCAGCTGTTCACTTCCAAAATGATGAATCTAGAAAAGACAGTAATCATTATTCAAATCAACAGATAAATGTAAATGACCACTGTGGCGGTCATTTTAGTAGTGAGCACTCTGGCATTAATAAGGATACTAGAAGTACATTTCAAAATATCCCCATGAATAATTTATCATCAGAGGATGTCCAGAGTAAATATAGTAAGACTAACCTTGCAGGTTCCAATGAGCATATCCAAGGAGAAAATGGCAGGAACAGGACAGAAGAACGTGGGGGAGACGGGGGAGAAGCATTTCCTGAGAAATCTCTGGAGATCTGTTCAGATGACTGGAGCAAGGGAAATGTGTTTAATGCGATGGGAGAGAATATAGAACCTGTGAAAATTTTAGTGCCACAGGAAAGTTTAGCATGTAAAGTTAGCAATGATAGTCACCCAGCCCTTAGCCCAAAGGATCTCAGTGATGGTCCTTGTAGCAAAACATCCAATGTGATAGATAACAAGTCTGGACAGCTTACAGCCTATGACTTAATTAGCAACCGAGCAGTCAGGAAGCCCATGTCAGCAAGTGCCCTGTTTATTCAAGACCATCGCACTCAGTTCCTCGCAGAAAATCCCAAGACAGGTTTGGAGGCTGCAACAGCTCAAGCTGAGGCACTGTGGGAGACACTGAGTGAAGACGAAAAACTCAAGTAAGTTTCCAGAGCGTCCTATGCCTCGACGCTCAGCTGTTTCCATTCTATATGACTCACGGGTTAAAAGCTTTCTAAACTTCACATTTATAAAAAACAAAAATAGAAAATGCTTCTTGACTTGACCAAAGTATCTTTCTTGGTATCATTTTTTTGTTGTTATTTTTGAGAATAGGGGTATATTATTTTTAATTTTTGTTTTGAAAACATTTGTCATGTTTACTACTTCCTTATGTACTGTGTGCTATAGCCTCTTTGGTCTCAGTTTGACTCTCCCTTTTCTTTATTTTATTTATGTTAAAGAGGTCTGGAGAGGGTTTTTTTTTTTTTCAAGCTTTTGCGTTAGAGTCGTTTTTATAAATATTTTGCCTGTTCCCTCCTTTTAATCGGTCCCTGAAATAAGACACAGTACGAAGGACCACGCTGTAGGTGCGGAACCAGCTTAGTGCATTTCTGCCTATATTCAGTGTAACGTGTGGCATCTAAGTTTTATCTGTTGCCAATTTATAAATTGTAGTAAGTGTTTGGGGCACGTAAATAAGTGATTTGAGCTGATTAAAATATTATTTGTATCTTCAGAGGTAAGTATATGTCCCAAAACAATAGAATGCGTATTTCTAGCTGGCTTGCACTTGTTGTGGGAACTTTTTCCCTTGGGAGACATAAACAAACATGGATCCCCTTTCTTATAAGGCACCAAAGCCAAACCTAAGTACAGTTCCACCAAAGTCCATCTCAGGGGACCAGTAAGTTTATTGGGCTTAATTACAAGAGCATGGATGAGGGCTTACTTACAGGAGGATCAGTGGCCCCAAATTAGCTGCACCACCAAAACGTCTGACTCCAGCATAGCTGTACAGATGGAATGTCCCCTTCAGGTCACCTCCCACCCTCTGTGTTCTTTATTCCTTTGTATTCCCTCCTCCTCCTGAAACAGTGACGCCATATGCAGTCAAGTCAGAACTGCACACAGCTGCTGGAGAGGTGAAGGAAGCCAGTCTGGAGGCTCAGTGAGGGTCTGATGGCCCTCCTACTCCATTCCTCCATAAGGGAATGTCAACAGTCAGCAGGTTCAGCTTTGGCTCGCTAGCAAGCAGTCACAGCTGCTCTGATGAAGACGATGGCCGTCACCCTGCATGGGTAGCACTCATACATACAATTGTATATCAGTGCAAAATGCTGCATTTTGAATTATCTGGCCCACCAGAAAATGAAGAATAAAATTAGACTTCCAATCACTTATTATTATCTAATTATTTCAAATCTCTGTCAAATATCTGGAGAAATATTTAAATATAGTCCATCACTTCTGGTTTAAAATTCATTCTAAATAAATGAAGTAGTTGGTTAACTTTTCCATGTCTTCATTTAATTCAGTCTTAGGAATAAACTGTCAGTTACAAATAATAGTGATGACTATTAACACGTAAGATACTGAGCTGTATTAGAAAACTGTTACTAAAAGCAGCAAAGATCAAATGTTTGCTCTCTTCTTAAATATCACACACATGACAGCGTGTTTAGGGGAGGGTGTGTTTGTGCTTTGTTCTGTTCCAAATGTTTATCAGCGTGAGATGCAGTGAACCTGTTACCCCATTTCATCCCATCATCCCATACTCAGTTCTGCTTTGTGAATAGCTCCCCCATCATCCCTCCTACCCCTCATGGTTCTGAGGCCAGTCTGAGGCACATCAACTTCATAAATATGTGTGTATGTATCCTTAAGAAATGAAGGTATGCATTCATATTTTAGGAATAACCATAATATAATTGTTGTAACATGGTTTCATATGTACAGATGCTTTGCCTGCATGTATGTCTGTGTGCCACATGCACGCCTAGTGCCCATGGAAGCCAGAAGAGGATTTCATACCCCCTGGGATTGTGAGTCTCTATGTGGGTGCTGGGAATCGAGCCCAGGTCCTCTGAAAGAGTAGCTGTTGCTCTTAACCATGGAGCCATCTCTCTAGCCCCTCATAACTTTTTAAACAATTCGACTTAGTACATGAAATAGCCAGTGCTCACAATACTAATTATTTCATAAAATGTCAGATTTTTAGAATCTTATTTTGGACTACTATACAAATAGGTTCACACAATTCCAGTTGTCTTCAGTTTTACCTAGATGATATGGTTATGTAGTTTAAAGATGAGTGAGTTCTTTGAAACTTCACATGGTACCCCATAAATGTGTGTAGTTCTCCTTTGTCAAGTTGTCTAAGGAAGAAAACATACTTCCGGTTTCTGGGGGTGTGGCACTGTGCAAACTCGGGAGCCAGGAGTTTCTCTCAGCCTGCGGCAGCTTCTCTTTTTGCTTTGTGAAGAGGAGTAGTCAACATTATCCTGCCTGTGAGTCCCAAATTGTCAAACAAGCCTCCTCTGAAGTTTTCTTCAGCAGTGTTATGGAATCCATTTGGAGCAGGCCTCAGGGACTGCACCTGGGACCTGCAGACAGCCATTCTCTGATGGCTGTTGGTTGTCTGTATCTTGTTGTGAGGAGCAGACGAGGTAATGGCCGTTACAGCACAGAGCTTTGTCTACTGTGTAGAGAGTGATTTCTGGGTTCGTGTGATTGGGGCTTTTAAGCTGTGACGTGAAACTTTGTCTTGTAAATGGCAGTTTTCATTTGCTCTAAGTCAGTTCAATTGACATGGGTTCCAGAAACACAGAGGTGCCTAGAAAATACTGATGTCTTGGAATCAGACGCACAAATGATTTTTTAAAAAGCAGAATGTTTGTTTCAGGGCCAGAGGTCCTTGGACCATGATCTACTGGATCAGGGCGCTTGCACCGTGATCCATCCACTGGATCAGGCCTGTTCGTTCTCCCGGAGCTTTCTTTCTATAATCCTCAGTTCTGCAAAGAATAGAAAGTGACCCAAGAGGAGACCTGGGAGTGCAGCTGAGTGGCAGAGCACCGCCTGCCTTCTGTGAGTCTCTGGCTTCTGTCCCCAGGACCACCTCCATAGACCCTCCTGGCTCCCATACCCACTGTCACAAAGGGGGCCTCCACCTCTCCTGAGGACCTGGCCTGCGTCCCGACCGACCACCGGGGTGGACCCTTCTGCAGAGCTCCCCCTCCTGCTTTTCACATTTCCTCCCCTTTTTCTTCCTCCCTCCCTCCTTTCTATCTCCTTCCTTCCTTTAGGAAATACTAGTTAAGGGTGTTCTGGCTAGTCGCTTCAGTTAAAAATAACATACATTTCTATTCATAAATAGTATCCTCTGCAGTTTGCCGTCTAGTGATGATAGAATTTTATGAGTTTTTTTATTGAAATTTTACTTTTTACTACAATATATTCTGGTAATGGTTTCTTCTCAACTCCTCACAGTGATCTCCACCCCATACCCATCCAACTTACCGCTCTCTCTCTCTCTTTATCTCTCTCTTTGAAATACAAAGAATCAAGAAACACATACACAAGTCACAAAAGCACAAAAACAGAAACCAAAATACGCACGGAAAAGACTAATAAGACCCCCCAAAAAAGCCCAAACAGTCTACAAAAATGCCATTGAGTCCATTTTGTGTTGACCATCTACTGCTGGGCATGGGACCTACCCTGCGGTGTGGTTTATATACACTGGAGAAAACTGATTTTTCCTTTACAGGTGGATATAGTTCATGTCCACACCCCTCTCTCAGTGCTGGGCCCTATCTGCCTTGAACCTGTGCGGGCCCTGTACATGTTCCACAGTCTCTGAATTCAGATCTGAATCATTCCTGTTGTCTGGAAGACACTGCTTTCCTGGAGTCCTCCATCCCCTCTGCCTCTGACAATCGTCAGGTCTCCTTGTCTGCACGGAGGACTGAGTCCTCCACAGTCTCGCTGTGAGCGTTGTTCATCGTCGGCCTCTGTTCGGTGCCTTCTACATAGAACTGTAGAAGTCTTCATCATAGAACTGATGCGTTTAAGGAAAGGGAAATATGGAGAGTTGGGAGAAGACTTAGCAGTTGTCCCATGTATGGGACAGAAAATGGCTTCCTTGTATAAAACTAACTGGGAAGGTTTCTGGGAGTTGTCACAGGAGAAGGCACACAGTGCTGCTGAGGAAGTGAAGAGACCCTGGCACAGGTGAGGATGTGCTGAAGAGAGACAGGACTGGCCAGAGTTTCAGCGTCTGCTGGGAAGGTAGGGTGGACTCGGGCTAGGGATGCTTAGGTCTCTTCTGATTTTTTTGTCCTCTTCTTTTCCTTACCCTCCTCTGGTGGGTTAGAATCCAGGTGTGAACTATGTACCTCCCCTGCCACTCAGGGGAGAAGGGTCCTTCAGTCAGTAGGTCTTAATTTGAGCTTTCATTTGCAATATATAAGTATATTCCTACTTAAAATAACTAAGTGATGTAGCAATTTGGATGTTACTGGAAATGATAAATAAACTTTATAATTCAATGTAGCCTTTAGTCTCAGAAACATCATTTAACCTGACTGTTTAGTCAAGTCAGTGGGGATACTTTCCATTCAAGCTGCTAAGTCCCTTAATGGTATTAAATACAGAGGTAGCATCTGCTCTTACTTAACATTTACCTCGTATTATTTTGGACATAACTTTTTATGTTTCCCAAGGAACTAATTAAATAGACTTCTTGAATAAATCAAAAGATTAGTACCATATGCAAAAATTTGCACATTATAATTAATTACAAATGGTGACCTTTATCTTGAACTCATTTTCCACCCCATAGGAAAGTCTGGAGTTCTGATGTCTAAGAGCTAAAAATAGACTTATTTCTAGTGCCTGTGAAAGTAAACTATTAAAGATCATGTGTTTTGTGTAACTAACCCATATGTTCATGTTCTAGGTATAATTGTAAAAAAATAACTTTGAAAAGTATGAATATGAGAAGTAAATGATTAATTGTTCACCCAGTTTGCAATGAAACAGACATTTTTTGCAATCTTATCCAATTAACATCTAGCATTTCTTTATTCAGAAACATGTGGCTATAAACTGCACACTATGTTTTAGTCTGTTGTTTCTTGGCCTCACTTTATAACATACATACAAGAAACATTCTGTAGAGTCTAAACCAGCTTCTTACAGGACCAGAAATAACCGTAGTTCTCTAGGCCCAAGTTTAAAACTTGTCAACTTTTGGTCAGATGTCTCATTCCAGCTGTAGTATTTGTGTTTCTTTTTGTTCTCGTGTTTGTTGTGTTGGGGATTGAACCTGGCCTTGTGTATGCTAAGCATGGACTCTGCCACGAGTGCAGCCCCAGCCAGCACATAGGCTTCCTGACCGCAACTTAGAGTAAGCCTCGCCTTTTACAGTGTGCCAAGCAACTCACTGCTGTTACAGAGCTAGGCAGTGGATGTACGCTGCCCACATACTATAAATGAGTACCCTGAGGGGCAGAACAAAGTACTTGGCACTAAGTTTACGTGGTTTCTAGGCAGCAGGAATATGCCAAGCAGGACACCAGGCTCTCTGGGGTCCATTGGGCACTGCTCCCTGAGGTGAACAAGGAGCAGTTAATTCTCATGTGACAGAATCCGTGTGGAGTGCTCAAGTAGAGCCATCCAGTGTCAGCCAGGCCTGAGCGTGGAAGCCAGGCACCTCAGTTCCTCACAGTGTGCATGGCACTGCCACTGTGGTGGACTGCCTTTGGCTCTAGAAGCTTCCTTTAACTCCTTTTATAACTGAGAAAAGAAGAAAGCCCTCTCTAACTGTTGTACCCGCTATAAATTTGAAATACCCATCGTTTACACTGTTGAAGTTGAGTTACATAGTTTAGATATGTTGGATTTACTGGAATTTATGTATCACCTGATGACTTTAAGTGAGAATAAAACAATTAACATTAACTGATGGATTAAATGGTGTGCTTTTTACTCCGTCTGCTATTTTAATGACTTTATTGTGTAGTCTTTTTATTATTTATTTGATTTTAGAATGAAATTGCTCTATAGAATAATCTGGTCTTGAACTTGTGATTCTCCTTCATCCACCTTCCAAGTGCCTGGACTGTGGGCATATGCTGCCATGTCTGGCTCCCCAACACTTTCTTAAATCATTCTTTAAACTGGTAACATTTACCTACAGTGGAATGCAAAGATCTTAGCAGTATAGTTCAGCACATTTTTGGAAATACACACATCTACCACAATGAAAACATGCATTGCCCTCATCCCAACTACCTCCACTTTTTTTTTTATTTCTGTTATATTACCTTGGTTTTACCAGTATTTAAACTTTAAATAACTATTTGACATCTCTGACTTTTCAACAATATTTCCATGACATCATTTTTAAGTGGTAATGTCTAGTTTTATAAGAGTAATAAGGTTTGTTAATTCAACCTCTAATTGTTGGACACTGAGGCTAGTGTGAATGCTACTATGTTGGTTAGTTTTCAGATATTTGAGGCTTTTAAAAATAAACTTGGTTTCCAGTTTAACATGAACAGAAAGTTAGATTTCACTCACCTTTTGCCATGTCTGGCTCATCATATTTCCTGTCCTGGTTAATGTTCTGTGTTCACAGATAAAGCAGCAGAGTTTCTGCCAATCATTTAAGTTGAAGTGGTTAGCAATGTTGCTCAGATTTGTCATTTCACTGACATCTTGTAGTCTGTTTATGCCACTGATCAGAAGAAGAAAGGCACACACATTTGCGTGTTAGGCTCCTTAGTGGCCCCTTCAACTCCAATAACTTGGCATTTCGATCTGCTTCATCTAATGTTGTCAGTCTCTCCTTTTCTTACTCTTTCTGTTTGTATAGTGTATGCATTTTTCATTCTATGCTACCTGTGTTATTTATTATAAAAGTGTGACTGTTAAAAGCCCATAAAGCTAGGAATCCTGTCCTTTAGTTAGATTTAATATAATAATGGACGTTGTTGGCATTAGATCTGCCCTGCCCCCTGTTGCCTGTTCCTGTCTTCCTCAGAGAGGTTGCAGAGGTATTCAGGGTTTGAGTGAATACATTTTAACATCTAATTTATACTCCTGCTTACTTTGCTTAATACATCATGCATCCTTTTATGATGCTTCAGTTAAAGTTAATACCACACAGTCTCACATAAACCTAAAAGCCCACAGATGTATTGATTCATGCTTATGTTATTATTCTCTTAAGAGTGCAGTTACGTTAGCAGAAAACTTATTTTATCTGAAGGTATTTGTTCAGTCTTCCCTGTGAAGGACATTTGTGGTTGGTAGATGTGAAGCTGCACATTCAGCCAGCGTTGCACTGTCCTCTTGGTTTCCTTCTGGCTGACTGATTTGGGGAATTCACCTTTGGTTTTCACCAGCTTGCTTCTGGTGTATCGGGCAGGCTTTGTTTGCATTTAACCTGCCTGGACTTGAGTTTCGTAGGTTGTTGACTTGTCATTAAGTGTAGTTTTTTTTTTTTTAATTGACACTTCAGGTATTGGGATGCTTATGCATGAGCCCCAGGCTGCTTCAGCGATCATAGGCCCCTTTCTTTCTACTCACAGTGGTCATTTCTGTAGCTCTTCCCTCAGGTTCACTGGCCCGTCTGTCGTTTCTATTTCTGCTCTGTAGAATGTTCCATCCAGATACTGTTTTTAGTTCTGTGCTTTTCACATCTTTCCATGTGCACATGTAAATTCTGCTTTCCCCTTCAGACCCTCCTATTCCCTGTTTTTCTCTATTGCTCATCCCAGACTCCCAAAACATGTATACAAAACTTCTTATTTATTATAAATCTGAGTCACTTTGAAGGTGGCTTTTCCTGACCTCTCCTCTCCTTGGCCATGACTCACATTTTTCTGTTTTACTTCTTGGGTGGTTACTTAATTGTGCAGTTGCCATTATGGGTAATGCCTGTTCACTTCAGATGTCTTTGAGCTTGTGGGATTTTGTTTTGCATTGAAGGATGATGAGATTCACTCAGTTCTAGGGGGTAGAGTGTTTCCTCCTATGATATGCCCCTCTTCTAGTTTTAATTGAAAGCCCAATGTGTTTACAAAGCCCCACATGTAACTCAGACACCAGACTCTGTTTCCCCTGCACTGGAAGCAGCTGGAAACTCTGTTCAGCTCATTAGCCTTTTAATGTTTCCTGAGGGCTCCCACACATGGGATTTTCTCTCAATTTCAAGTACTGGAAGCAAGGATCTGTGTTCTGATGACGCAGGCTAGTTGGTGTTGTCTTCTAGCTAAGTTCCTGATGCTCCCACCATCTAATGCTGGATAAGAGCTCCGTAAATGCAAATGCAAGTCCTTCTCATTTGCTTTTGACTGCTTTTGAGAAGCCAGTTTCTGTGTTCTGTTTGGGGTTTATCTTAAGCACACACAAGAGGGTCGCTCTAATACACATTTCCTTGTCATTATTGAATAACAGCTCATCCATTATTCTTAGTAAAATTTACTTCAGATGATTATTATGTTTTTATTATGAGCTCATTAGTCCTGTTTTCTCTCTGTTCTTAGATATGAAGAAAAGGCTAAAAAAGACTTGGAACGATACAATAATCAAATGAAGAAAGCTATTGAACAGGAGCCACAAGTATCATTAAAAGATGGCCGGAAAAAGATAAAGGCCACCAGTGCGTGGGGCTTGACACAAAAACACAAATTGAAAACCTCATTATCTAATCAGCCGAAACTTGATGAGCTCTTTCAGTCCCAGAATGAAAAAAAGAAGAGTGAAAATATTAAAATAGCAGAGGTCCCCTTTTCTATGGAAAACCTAAAAGTAAGTTTTAAGAAACAAAAGAAAGTTGACTTAGAAGAGAAGGATGAGATCTGCCTGATCCACAGTCTCAACTTTCCCGATGCATGGCTGGTCGCGTCCGGAACAGATGTCATGTTACTGAACCCATACAGAGTGGAGGAAGCGCTGCTATTTAAGAGACTTCTTGAGAATCATAAGCTGCCTGCAGAGCCGCTGGAAAATCCAATTATATTAACGGAGAGGTATGGTGAAGTAAGAGGCTTTTTGATGTTTAGTGTTAAAAGTTGAAAGTTCTTTTCTAGTAGGCATAAGTGGCTCACATCTTGACTCAGTGAATCCCAAGCTCGTTTCTCCTATACCTTTGTGGCTTCTCTAGGGTGACTGACAGCTAGAGTGCTGTGGCTGTCTTTGATATTACACTGCTCTGACATTGTCAAACATACACCAGAATGGAATTACACAGGGAGTGCCTGTAGCAGTCATTACCAAGGTTCTTTGCCCCGTCCTGTTTCTGCCCATATACAAGTGTGTACATAGACAGGTTTTCCTTTCATTCATTAAAGTATGTGAGAATAATTCTTACTCTTAGTCCTTTCATATACTCATAAAAATGATTAGTTTCTGACCTAATCACAAATGTCTTTTTAATACCTTACTCAATAATAATAGCTTAGAATTGTTCCTCATTGTTTCAAAGGGTTTTGTTTTGTTTTGCTTTGCTTTTAGTTTTATAATTTTGAATTTAATTTCTATATGTAAGTTCTACATATTACATATGGTTGTATTTTTTATTGTGTGATTGATTTACTATGTAACAATCACTGGAATATTCTTTTATCTCTTTACTTTTCTTGGCAGTGAGTTTTTTTGGTTTGGGTTTTTTTTTTAGGATTTATTTAATTTTTAGTGTGTGTGTGTGTATGTGTGTGTGTATAACTCACATATGATTAGGTGCTTTTAGATGCTAGAAGAGGGCATCAGACCCCTGAAACTGCGGTTACAGGTCATTGTGAGCAACCAGCTTTGAGTGCTAGACACTGAACTCCAGTCTTTTCTGGAAGAGCAGCCAGTGCTCTTAACCACTGAGCCATCTCTCCAGCCCCTGATATGGTGCTCACCTCTCTCCTCCTGTCTTTAGCTGGAAGTTAACCTCAGGAAGTCGGGGAGATTTAGGTTCTGCTCTCCAGCAGGTAGGGCTGGCTCCCAGGAGGAAGGTGTGCTTCAAACCTCTCCCGCACGGTTCACTAGCTTTGGACGAAGGTGATCCTCCCTCTCAAAACTCCCCAACTTCCTCTCCATCTAATATCTAATAATCAGCTGATGATTGTTGCCTGAACTAGTTGTATTTTTCATTGTAAATGGGGTGCTTCTTTTATCTATCTTTTATGAGTAACTTGCTTTATGTACAAATGAGTAATAACCAACCTGTAAACTTTTTTTTTTTTTTTTTTTTTATGCTTAGTTTCTAGTCTGACACAGACTGATGTACTAGGACAAAGTAGCTAAAACTCTGCAGTTTAAAGGCTGGTTAGAATGTTCTCAATAGGATACATCACTAGATAACTTCAGAAGGACCAGGAATAAAGAGAGCGGTGTCAGTGTGTGGGTAGGTTGAGGACATAGCCATCTAATGAAAAACAACAGGGCGCGAACACAGGAGAACATTGTCCAGTCTGCATTTTCAGTAAGGCAGCAGTGACCACATGACGAAAACCTAGGACCGTCCACAGCATTTCTAGAGACCGACTCAGGAAGCTCACCAAAGGAGGAACTGGATGCAGTTGCTCATAACTTGACAGCAGTTTCTCCCTGTTTCCTCATGAACAGCCAGGACATATCTAATTTTGTAACTTAATTGCTTTTCTCAATGGTATTTATAGATTTTCATTTACTTTTCAAGAAATCTTGTCCCTGTCTAAAATACAGCTTCTTAAACATGTTTCTCTGAGTGACATCTGTTGTTTAGGGAGATGCATTAAAAGCTGTTGTTTTCGTGCCCATGCTCGAAGGGAAGCCCACTTTTCTTGACTGAGTGTCGACACTGAGAAAAGTGTGGTTCCAAAGGTCCCCTTCACAGCTAATGCTGCTCTGCTAATGGAGTCCTGAACTGAGTACCTCACTGTAGTGATTGGGTAGTTATGGACTGGATTCAGTGTTCTCAGCAGAACTCTGATGCCAGTTGTGTAGCTTGCATCTGAAGGGAGTAAGTGAACTCTGCATGTAACACAGACAGCTCCTGTTTGCTGAGCCCTGACTGGATGAGGGAAACTGCTGTGATCTTACAGGGCTGGTTGGTCACCTCACAGCTGAGTGAACCAACAGAACAGCTCTTAGGTGTGCTTACTCAGTCAGTCAGGAAGCCACACACCCAGGATTCTTTTCTTTTTTCATTTTATACCAACCACGGTTCCCCCTCCCTCCCCTTCTCCCGCTCCTCCCCCATCTTTCCCCTACCCCACCCCCATCTACCCCTCAGAGTGTGTAAGGCCTCCCTCAGGGAGTCAACGAAGTCTGGTATACCAAGTTGAGGCAGGAACAAGCCCCTCCCTGCTGCACCATAGCTGAGCAAGGTATCCCACCATAGGAAATGGGCTCCAAAAAGCCAGTTCATGTATCAGGCCTGGTCCCACTGCTAGAGGCCCCACAAACAGATCAAGCTGTCACCCACATTCAGAAGGCCTAGTTTGGTTGTATGCAGGTTCCCCAGCTGTCATTCCGGAGTCCCTTAGCTCCCACTAGCTTGGGTCAGCTGTCTCTGTGGTTTTCCCCATCATGATCTTGACACCCGCCCCCCCCTTGCACATATAATCTCTCCTCCCTCTCTTCAACTGAACTCCAGGAGCTCAGCCTGGTGCTTGGCTCTGTATCTACTTAGGCTCTATGATGACAATTAGTATATTCACCAATCTGATTACCAAGGTAGGCCAGTTCAGGCACCCTCTCCACTGTTGCTAGTAGTCTTAGCTGGGGTCATCCTTAGCTAGAATTTCCCTAGCACCTGGTTCCTCCTTAACCACATAATGGCTCCTTCTATCAAGATATCTCTTTCATTGCTTTTCTTCTCTGTCACTCCTCCAACTAGATCCCTCCTCTACCCCCAGTCCCAGTTTACCCAGCCATCGGGGAAATGCAAATCAAAATGACTCTGCAATACCATCTTACACCTGTCAGAATGGCCAAGATCAAAAATGCTAATGGCAGCCTATGTTGGAGAGGATGTGGAGTGGGGGAACTCTCCTCCACTACTGGTGGGAGTATAAACTTGTACAGCCACTCTGGAAATCAGTATGGCAGTTTCTCAGAAAAATTGGGAATCAATGTACCTCAAGACCCAGCAATACAACTCTTGGGCATATGCTCAAAAGATGCTCAATCATACCACAAGGACACTTGCTCAACTATGTTCATAGCGGCATTTTTCATAATATCCAGAACCTGGAAACAACCTAGAAGTCCCTCAACCGAAGAATGGATAAAGAAAATGTGGTACATTTATACAATGGAATATTACTCAGCAGTTAAAAACAAAAACAAAAAAACAAAACAAGATGTCATAAAATTTGTAGGCAAATGGATGGAACTAGAAAAAGCCATCCTGAGTGAGATAACCCAGACCCAGAAAGACAAACATGGTATGTACTCACTTATAAGTGAATGTTAGCCACAAAGCAAAGGATAACCAGGCTACAATCCACAACCCCAAAGAAGCTAGGTAAAAAGGAAGACCCTAAGAGGGACACACATGGATCGCCCCAGGAAGGGGAAATAGTTAAGATCACCCAGGATTCTAATACAGACTGCTGACCCATGGAGCCTGCATTTCATCCTTACCACAAGCTTTCAGATTGATTTCAGAGTTGGTGAGACAAGCTAGAAATACAGCCAAAGCATTCTGTGACATCTGCTCTCACCATCAGTGGAGTCCTCAGCATTCTGAGTGATTGAGAGACTTCATTTGTTTTCCAGGGGGAATGTATCTGTAACAGCATACTGCACCATCACCTAGCGTTTTGTTGTATGCCTAAGTAGACCTCTCTGCTGTGGTAGGCCTCTTTTGTAGTGACTCTTCTGACTAAGTAGATCTCTCTGCTGTGGTAGGCCTCTTTTGTAGTGACTCTGCTGAGGAACCTTTGTCAAGTATGCTGTGCTTACTGAAAGAATCTCTCCCAAGATTTGATCTAAAAATTTATCAGTGTTTGGAAGAAAAAAAAAAATCTATTTAACCTTCTTGCTGTTGAAGAAGCCTCGAGTAGCATTTGATTTTAAGTATAACTACTTGAGTAGCTTGTTGACTCAGGGTGTGCTTTTCATTTGTGATAGCTACTTTAAAGGTATTTATTGTGGGTCAAGTTTTAATTTGTATTATATTTAGAGAACTACTATTTACATTTCTCATTGAATTTGTAACATTCTGGAAGAGACAAGTTGTCCTTTATATCTGCCCTTCCTCTTTTCTGGGCCTGCTCTACAGTGGGTCTCTTACACAATGCTAACAGAAGGCAGATGCTTTCTCACAGAGCTCGGCACTTCCAGGAATGATAACACTTTTCCAAACACCCTTGGATTAGCTCCCATGAATCCTCTTATTTCAATCTGAATATTTAACATAAAGAACCGTAATCTCTTTCTTTTTCAGTCTTTTTAATGGGTCTCATTATTTAGAGGTGTTACGTAAAATGTCAACAGCTGAGCAGAGATGCAGTGGACCAACTTACCTGAGTGACCCTCGTCTTACAGCAAATGGCTTCA